TTTCTCTTTTTCTCAGTTCACACCCCCTGCCCCCCAATTTGGTCCTTTCCTCACTAGCTTGTACACTCACTCAGCAAACATCACTACCATCCTCTCGTAGGCTTTGCCTCTGCCCTGGGAGACACAGAGGATCCAGGACAGTAAAGTTGACACTGGGCGAGGCCACATCAAGGGGATGGGGACAATGGGAAACCCAGAGAAAAGGAAATGAAGTTTTCTAGAAAAAAATCAAGGCACACCTCTTGGAGCAGGTGCCTGTTTGTTGGGCCTCAGAGGTAGAAGATGGGGGCTCCCCCTTCAACGACTTCCTGCCCCATCCCTCCCTTGAGCCCTATGATTGTTGAGCATGAGGATTCAGGCCCTACCCCTAGCGATGAGGAAAATGGGCCCACGCTCACCTCAGGGAGACAGCTGAGCACAGAGGTGTTAGGAAGGTAATGCCCACAGCTCCATGGTGGGTGGGGCTGCCTGGCTCAGATGTCCCAACCACAGCTGCACGTCATGGTGCTCCCTGGCTGCGGCCTGAGCCTTCCCCAGGCTGCCAGACTTCGTTTCCCCTCCCTGGAGGGAGTGAACAGAGCCATACTAAGCCCCTCTGTGTGGAAAAGGGTTTTAGAACACTCACTGTGCCTCCTTGGTTGAGTGACTTCAACTTGTGAAGTCAGTTTCTGCATCCACATCTTGGGATGATGGTGTGCCAGAGTTGCCGAAAAGATGCCTTGAGCATGACAGCTCCTCACCTTTTCTGAACTCTTGCAAACTGCCTGTCACTGCCTACAGCAAGCTCTCAACTGCCCTTTGAGATCTACTATTGTTCTCATTTAACAGATGTGAAAAATAAGGCTCAGCAAGAAACCTGAGAGCTGAGGCAGCCAATTTTTTCTAAAATGGTCCAGAGAGAGTAAATATTGGCTTTGTGGGCCAGTCTCTGTCACAGCTACTCAGCTCTGCTGTAGTATTGCAAAAGCTGACATCAGGCAACATGTAAATGAAGGAGTGTGGCTGTGTGCCAATGAAGTTTATTTGTGGACACTGACATTTGAATTTCATATCATTTGTATGTCAGGAAATAGGCTTATTTTTTTGACTTTTACCAGCCACTTAAAAAACAATCAAACAAAAAATTTATAGTTTTCAGACTGTAGTTTGTTGATCTCTAGAGCTGATGCTGTTAATTGCTGTAATTCATTAACTTACTCACTCATTCCATAAATATTAATAGGCACTAGAGGTAGACTCGAAACTAGCCGTTGAAGATGCTCCTCTTCAGGAGATAACACTTTTGTGGAAAAAGTAATCGTAAGCAAGTAAACAAGAATATTCTAGATGGCAGAAAGGGCTAGTAAGGAAATTTGGTGAGTGATGCAACAGGGCTGAGGGAGGGGTACTTTCATTTGGGTTGTCTGAGATGGTGACCTTTGGAGTCCTCTGAATTCCTCTTTTTGTTCTTTTTGTCAGCTTAGGCAATCTTTGTCTGTCGCCCGCTGTGGGCTAGGGCTTAATAATAAACAGATTGGCTTCTTCGCAGGGCAGTAATATCGAGGGGAGGTTCGCTGTGGCCTCAGCATGTTTAAAGCTTTCTTCCTGGTCGGTCAGATTCCTCAGAGATGGGTCTGTCAGCATCCCATCTTCTGGGTCCCGATGTTGAGCGGGGTGAGGGTTGCGGTGGGGAAGTTTTAGCGCCTGCATTCAGGTTACAGGTTTGCTCAATAGTCCTGTGTTCAGAGAGATGTTTTTGGTCGATAACTGCTGTTCCTCTGACCAGAAACACTGCTATTTCCGCTCTTTGGAGGACAAAAGAAAACAGATACTTACCCACCCCGATGGGAAGTATCAAAAAAAAAAAAAAAAAAAAAAAGGATCTACTTCAAAATGGAGCTGGAGCTGCCATGTTAGAGAGAATTCCGTGCACATCTTATGTCTCAAACCTTTGGAATGTTAAAAAAAGGGCCAAATAACCTTGGGGCTGGGCTTAAGAAGCCTTGTTTCTCCCCAAAAACTGTCTGTAAAGAAAGCAGGTATAGCCTGGCTGGTGTGGCTTAGTGGTTGAGCGTTGACCTATGAACCAGGAGGTCAAGGTTCTTCGAATCCCAGTCAGGGCATATACCTGGGTTTCAGGCTCGATCCCCAGTGGAGGGCAGGCAGGAGGCAGCTGATCAATGATTCTCTTCCATCATTTGATATTTCTCTCTTTCCCTCTCCTTTCCTCTCTGAAATCAATAAAAATATATTTTAAAAAGAAAGCAGATAGAATGACTTACTGGACTAAAAATTAAAAAAAAACTGTTTAGCATTAACAACACTGTTAAATGTATCAATAGAAATGCCTTCTGCCTATTGATGTAACTGTCACCCTTCCCTTCTCATAAATACCCCTTGCCTTTGTCTCCTAAGTGGGAGGAAGACTGGTTTTCTGCCTGAATTGGTGCATCCCGAATAGCTATTCTTTTTTATTTCAAATAAATGCTTGTTTCCACTCACTTTAAAAGCCTTTTATTTGTTGGTTAACCGGAGAAACACTGATGTCTCTTTTGGGAACTGACTTTCAGTAAACTCTTCTGTTTTAGTGGCCACCCATCACTCCTTCCTTCAGCGTTGGCGAGAGTCACCAATAACTGAACTTTGGGGGATGGTGCTGGTGAAATTCCAAGAGGCAAATAATATTTGGCTTTCCACCCTGCTGGCTAGCCATCTTGTTTTGGGTTTTAAAACAATCACTGAACTGTCACTGCAGTGGGGTTTTAGAAGAGTGAAAGTAAAGGCTGATGCCCTGTTCATCATCTTGACCCAGAAGGATGGTGGGAGCTGAGGATGGCTGCCAATGTGGAGAAAGAACATTCCAGTCAGAGGGTCTGCAGGGGTGAAGGAACAACCTTGGTCCAATGCAGTGGGTTCTCCAACTTGGGCAAACCTCGGAATCTTCCAGTTGGCTCATTCAAACACCGATTGCTGGGCTGACGACTGGGCTTTTTCCGTTCCCAGAGTGTCAATAGACAATAGATGGAGGTGCTAGAATTTGCATAGGTGATGCTGTCGCTGTTGGTTTGGACACCACACGTCGTTCTTATAAACCATTTACATAACGGAAGCATTTAGCACCTTTGCATTAACCTGAGCCAGTATCATTATGGTTTTTCTCTCTGTAATTCCCCCGCAGGGCCCAATGCTAGAACTTCGAGCCCAGTGTGGCATCCTATACCCAAATCCCCCCGCATTTCCTGGCCTGCTGGCGGAGGCCTGAGACCAACTGCCCACTCCATCTTCCCACTGGGTCCGGGAGCAGCTCAAGGACTGACCAGTGTCCACCCGGCTGGTCTGGGCAGAGCAGGGCTTTCTTCCCATCTCTCAATCCAGGGTTGCTTCCTCTTTTGGGTTTTGAGTTATGGCAGCTTCTCTGCTCCTCCTCCCACCCCCGCCCGAGTGAAGGGAAATTTGAATTTCCTCTGTCTCACTTGTGTCCTTTTCCTACAAGGGGAATTTCTCTACCTGGACTCTCCAGCCTTCCGCTTGTGGGGTCCAGGGGGGCTCCTGACAGGAAGCGGTCTAGGTGGGTGGGTGGGGGCAGGCCAAGGAAGGGCTAGGGTCCCGGAGGAGTTGAGAGAGGGAGGGGGCGCCCCGAGTATGGCACTCAGGGTTCCACTGGGGGGTTTTGCTCCAGAGGAGAAGGCAGCTGAGGCCTGGCTGTCCTCTGATGGTTCTGCAGGAATACTGGATTTAGGGGATCCCTGGGGGGACCTGGGTGGGAGTGACAAGGAGGGGAAAGAGATAAAGAGACAAAGAGGTTCAGAAAGTGAGAGCAAGAGACAGAGGGAGGGAGAGAGGGAGAGAGGGGCGGGAGGACAGGGAGGGACACTGAGACAGAGGCAGGGAGAGTCAGAGCCAGAGCCAGAGACACAGACATAATAAGGGATAGAACCATCCCGAGACCCGGCCCAACGCAGACAATCAATGGACACAGGGACAAATGGGGAGAGACGTACAGATAAAAGGAAAGATACAGAATTACAGAGAGGCACCCAGAGAGGAAGGGGGGGGGGTACAGAGAGAGAGGCAGAGAGAGAGAGAGACAGAGAGAGACAGAGAGAGAGAGGCACAGAGAGAGAGACAGAGAGAGAGACACAAAGAGAGACAGAGAGAGAGGCACAGAGAGAGACAGAGAGACACAGAGAGAGAGAGAGAGAGAGAGACAGAGAGAGAGGCACAGAGAGAGAGAGAGAGACAGAGAGAGAGGCACAGAGAGAGACAGAGAGAGACAGAGAGACACAGAGAGAGAGAGAGAGGTAGAGAGAGACAGAGAAAGAGGCACAGAGAGAGACAGAGAGAGACACAGAGAGAGACAGAGAGAGAGGCACAGAGAGAGACAGAGAGACACAGAGAGAGAGAGAGAGACAGAGAGAGAGGCACAGAGAGAGGCAGAGAGAGAGGCACAGAGAGAGACAGAGAGGCACAGAGACAGAAAGAGAGAGGCACAGAGACAGAGAGACACAGAGAAAGAGAGGCAGAGAGAGAGGCAGAGAGAGAGAGACAGAGAGAGAGAGACAGAGAGAGACAGAGGGACACACAGAGAGAGGCAGAGAGAGAGAGACAGAAAGAAAGAGAAAGAGAGAGACAGAAAGAGAGAGACAGAGAGAGACAGAGAGGCAGAGAGAGAGATAGAAAGAGACACACAGAGAGAGGCAGAGAGAGAGGCAGAGAGACAGAAAGAGTGAGACAGAGAGAGAGAGACAGAGAGAGACAGAAAGAGTGAGACAGAGAGAGATAGAAAGAGACACACAGAGAGAGGCAGAGAGAGACAGAGAGGCAGAGAGAGAGAGAGAGGCACAGAGAGAGATAGAAAGAGACACACAGAGAGAGGCAGAGAGAGAGGCAGAGAGACAGAAAGAGTGAGACAGAGAGAGAGAGACAGAGAGAGACAGAAAGAGTGAGACAGAGAGAGATAGAAAGAGACACACAGAGAGAGGCAGAGAGAGAGAGAGAGAGAGGCAGAGAGAGAACGCGGGAGCAAGAAGCGTGGGACAGAGATTGGAGGGCGAGAGAGAGCAAGGAGACCGGAGATGAGATCCAGAGAAGAGAAAGTTGGGGAAAGCCTGGCTGGAGGGGGCGGGCGCTGGGATCCCCACCGTCTCCGCCCCGGAAAGCGGGGCTTCCGGGTTCACTATAAAACGGGGAGCCCGGGACCCCGGCTTTAGCCGCCTGCCGCTGGTCATGGGCTCCAGCTCCGACGCCGTCCCGGACCCCGAGGCCCCGCGGCCGCCCGCGCCCCCCGGCCCCGCCTGCCGCCGGCTGCCCTGGGCGCTGAGCGCCGCGCTGCTGCTGCTGCTCGCGGCCGCCTGCGCCGTCTGCGCCGTCCGCGCCTGGGAGCTGCCCCGCCGCCCCGCCTCGCCCGGCCCCGGCCCCGGCCCCGGCCCCGCGCCCGACTCCAGGCTGCCCGAGCTCCCTCCCGACGCCCGGGCCCGCCTCCCCGACTCCCCGCAGGTGAGATGCGCCCCTGCTTGGGACTCCTTCTCTACCCTGCACCCTGGGCCGACCCCTTTCTGCACCCCGAGTCCCTGAAAGCACCCCTTCTTTACCCAGGACATGGGGGGGCACCCCTGCTCACCTTGTACCCCCGCGAGACCCCATCTGCATCCGGCACCCTAGGGCGGGACCCTTTCTCCATCGCGGACCCCGAGGGGCACTTCGAACCTTTGAGGGGACCCTCACTTTCCCCCTAACTCCCGGAGAACCTAGGTTTCCTCCCGGACCCCTGGGGTGTCCCCCTTTTCCTCCCAAGACCTCCCTGTTCCAAGCCACCTGGAGGGATCACACTTATTTTCGGTCTTGAGTCCTGGTGGGTGTGCTGTCCTTGCAGATCCCACGGATTGGGGCCGGTTGAGCCCCCAAGTTGAGGTGTGCGTGGATGTTGGGGTGCCCTTTTGGAGGAGGGGGAAAGGAGAGCGGAAGGGCTGCGCAGACGCGGTGGGGCACTTTTCAGGGGGCTGCCGAGCGGTTGGGGGACCCTCCGCTCACTTTCTGCCTTTCCTCCTCAGGATGTGGGCGTGTTCGCGCAGCTGGTGGCCCGAGATGGTGAGTGTCCTGCGCCATCCCTCTGCCCCCCCCCCCCGCACCGCCCTCCCCCGGGATAGGGACACTAAGTGGGAAGGTCCCGGGAGCCGGAGGCCTCCTTCTGACTAAATCCGACCCTCGACTCCTTCCCTCTGAAAGCTGTCTTCTCCCCTCTATGAATCTCACCTGTCTCTGCGCTCCCGCTGCCCCTCAGCTGACTTCCATCTGCCCACTAAAACCCACCCGCTCAGGCCTAGGGCGGGATCCCCAAACCCCGTCCCGTCCTGGTCTCTCCCACTGGCCTCTGGGAACTTCACCCTCTCCTTCCCACTCGCTTCCCTCCTTCCTTCCAGAGACCTCCCTCCCCTGTCCCTTTTAGACTCTCCTCCCAATCTCTGCTTTTCTTCTCTACACCCTTCCTGAGACCCCGCCCACCTTCCCTCCTCCTTCTGAGTCCCCTCCTTCATGCTGTCCCATTCCCCTCACCTCCCTCTCTAACCCCCTTCCTTCACCCCCCCACCCCCCCCCCAGTCCCTAGCCCTACTCTCCCCTTCCCATCCCCTTTTGCATCGCAAGTCCTCCTGCAGGTTCCTATTCCTAGAAGTCTCTCACCTTCCACCCCCACCCCTTTCCGTGTCCCCCCTCCCCCTCCCTCTTCCTGACAGCCTCCCCCCTTTTCCCTGTCCCTTCCTCCCTCCATCCTCCAGCCCTTCCTCCCTCTGAGAACCCTTCTGTCCTCAGAGCCCCTCCACCCCCTCCCCAGGTTGTGCCCCTGCCACATCCTTGCTCAGGAAACCCCTCCCCCTGCCTCCTCTTGCAGCACTGCTGACAGAAGGGCTCCTGCATTGGTACAGTGACCCTGGCTTGAAAGGTGTGTTCCTGGCACCGGGCCTGAGCTATGATGAGCACACACAGGAGCTGGTGGTGTCTGAGGCCGGCATCTACTATGTGTTTTTGCACCTGGAACTGCAACGTGTGGTGGCTAGAGCTGGCTCTGGCTCCGTCTCCATTGCCTTGCATCTGCAGCCGCCGGGCAGAGGGGCTGCAGCTATGGCCCTGACCTTGGACCTGCCATCTCCCTCCTCTGAAGCCGGGGACTCAGCAGCTGGTTTCCGGGGTGGCCTGCTGCACCTGCGCGCTGGCCAGCGCCTGGGTGTCCATCTCAGGGCTGCGGCTGGGGTGCACCCCGCCTGGCAGCTTGCACAAGGTGCCACGGTCTTGGGCCTCTACCGAGTGGCCACCAAGGTCCCTGCTGGACTCCCCTCGGGACAGCCTTCATGAGGCAGGCGGGGTTGCCACCCCCTGCAGGGAGACTAAATCCTGCCTTTCTTCTGCGGGGCCTCTGGTGATGAGCCCTGGCTTCTCTACCTCACCAGGCAGGGCAGGGGTTCTGGCTGCTGACCCCCTCCTCAAGGATTCTCCTGGTCCCTCTATCACTCCTGCCCCGAATCAAACCCTTGGTATTTATTATGAGCCTGAGCTCAGACAGTGGACTTTATATTTATCTGTTTAACTTATATTTATTGAGTGCCCAGGCCAGGTACTGTGCAGCAGGGCTGAAGAAACAGACCAAAACAACCAACAGCAAGCAAGACAGACCTCAAAAAATCCTTACTTATGTTAATAAGTGAGAAATAAAGACTCACTCCGAGCCTCCCCCTTTGGGATTTGTGGGGTAGCTTTAGGGGGTCTGCAGAATTCTTTGTTGTGTGAGTTTCATTCATGCAACTTGTCTTTTGACCATCTACTATGTGTCAGGCACTGTTTTAGGTGTTGAGGACACAGCAATGAGCAAAACAGACCCAAACTCCAGCTTTTGCCAAGCTGACATCTTCTAGGCTGGTTTGCCACTATGACTGTGATTGTGACCTGGTGTGCCTGGGCCAGGGGGCAGTGTGAGTGGTGGATGGTACTGGGTAATAAAATGTTTATAAATGTAATGACTGTATTGAGCTTTTACTGTACACCAGACAGTGTTATCTGGGACTCATAACTACTGTATGCTTTAGGGGTTTTATTATTTCCATCCTACTATTATGTATGCTCGAGGTTATTTTCCTCTATGGTAAGTGGGTGGTGGAAATACTGTAGAATACAGTTCTGCAGGAAGTCACTTGCCAGCTCTGTTCAGTACCGTCACGCCAGTAACTTAAAATCAGCCACGGGAATCAGCAAATGCTACAAGCCAGGGCTTGATTTATTGTCTGCTGGTCAGCTAGACTTAAAGTGATGGAGGAACTGATGTTAAACAAGTAGATTAGACTTAAAAGTGTGTCTTGGCTCTACCTGTTATGTTGTGAATATCAAGGAAGTCTTCATCTACTGTTTTCAAATCGTTATCTGATTTTGTAAAGAAGTTGCTCATGTTTTCACAAGCAAGTGAAGTGTGGACATACATCTTTGGCCCGTTTTATCTTAGTATTTTTTTAAAAATTGATTTTAAAGAGGAAGGGAGAGGAAAAGAGAGATAGAAACATCAATGATGAGAGAATCATTGATTGGCTGCCTCTTTCACGCCCCCCACTGGGAATTGAGCCTGCAACTGGACATCGAACCTGGGACCCTTTAGTCCACAGGCCAACGCTCTATCCACTGAGCCAAACTGGCTAGGGCTTACCTTAGTCTTTAAAAGGAAAATACAATCTACATCACGTTTGTCATTTGCACGCAGTGTTGACTATTGGTACAAGAGTGGGAAAAATTAAGGCATTCTGCAGAGAATCAACTGACTAAATAGAATTTGCAATGAAGAGCATTCTCTATTTTATTCATAAATGGTGTCCTACACAATAATTTATGCCTACAAAATTTATAATAGACACACAATTTCATTCCCTCCCATAGTTAACCCTGCGTGCAAGTGACAAACAAGTGATGTAGATTTATTTTCCTTTTAAAGACTAAGATAAGCCCTAGCCTGTTTGGCTCAGTGGATAGAGCATCAGCTTGTAGACTGAAGGGTCCCAGGTTCGATTCTGGTCAAGGGCACATGCCCAGGTTGGGGGCTTGATCTCAGGTAGGGGGTGTGCAGGAGGCAGCCAATCAATGATTTTCTACCATCATTGATGTTTCTAGCTCTCTTTTCCTCTCCCTTCCTCTCTGAAATCAATTAAAAAAAGAGACTAAGATAAAATGGACCAAAGATCTATGTCCACACTTCACTTGCTTGTGAAAACATGAGCAACGTCTTTACAAAAGCAGATAATGGGTTGAAAACACAGCACCAGCATGCTGTTCCTCTCTCCAGACCTCGTCAGTTCTCCCTGCCCCATAATTTTGTCACCATGCACAACCCATTACTCCTAGTCCCCATTCCTGGATACTTCCTTTGGACTCCTAGGGCGGCCCTTGTGACCAAGCATCTAAAACCTTAACCCTTGGTGCATCCCTAAAATTTGTGGGGAAAGGTTGTCCCCAGAATTCTTGGTCCAGGGACCACAGTCAGATCTGACTGGTCAGCGTCTGGCTACGCTGGTTGTTGCCTATTGAATAACACCCTTGGCACCAGGTGATGCCTTCCCTTGGCACAGCTGATTGGGTGGACTCATGACGCAAGCTGGGCCAATTTCCACAGAGTGGGCGGGCTTGACCTCACAGGCAGTGTTAGTCAGGAAATCGCACCTCTACAGGAGAGAGAAGCATGAAAGGTCCCATCTGCAGAGAGAGAGAGAGAGGAGAGGAGGATGCACAGGAATTTACAAGTGAGATCACAGAACCCTGGAGAGACAGAGGAGGGACTTAGATTTTCTACTTGGTGACATGGGAAACCCTATGCCTATTGGAAAACCCTATGACAGGGTGGGACAAAAGTAGGTTTACAGTTGTGAGTACACAAAACACAGGCTTTATTCTTATATTATTATTTATTAACTATTGTATTATTTTTCCATATAAATGATTGTCAACCTACTTTTGCCCCACCCTGCGGTTTCTGAGGGCGACAAACTGGGTGGCTTAAAACAACAGACATGTATTGTCCCCCAGTTCTGGAGACCAGAAATCCAAAATCAAGGTGCCAGCAGGGCCATACTTCCTCCGAAGGCTTTAAGGAAGACTCCCTACCTGCCTCTTCCAGCTCCCAGTAGTTGCCCACAATCCTCGGTATTCCTGGCTTCATAGCTGCATTACTCCAATCTCTGCCTCTCTCTTCAATGGCCTTCATCATTCTGTGTGTCTCTGTCTTCTTTTCTCTTCTCTTCCTGAAAGGACAAGTCATATTGAATGCAGGGCCCATACTCATCTAGTATGACCTCATCTTAATTTAATTACAGCTCAGTGGTTGAGTGTCAACCTATGAACCAGGAGGTCAGGGTTCAATTCCAGGTTGGGACACATGCCCAGGTTGTGGGCTTGATCCCCAGTGGGGGGCATGCAGGAGGCAGCTGATCAGTGGTTCTCTCTCATCATTGATGTTTCTATCTCTCCTTCTCCCTTCCTCTCTGAAATCAATAAAAAAACACATTTAAAACAATTAAATTACATCTGCAAAGATTCTATTTTCAAAAAGGGTCATAATCTGAGGTTCCATGGAGGACATGATCTTGGGGGGACACTTCAACCCACTACATCTAGTGTCTCCCCTTGGGGGCAGTGAGAAACTTCAGTATCCTATGATTTTCCTTCTGGGGAGGGTTGTGTTCTGTGCTGCCAAATGACCTTTAAGATAGTGGTCCCCAAGGATGCAGGTTCTCAAGGCTGTTGGTGTCTTTCGTCGTGGCTTTGGGATCTGAGAGACTATCCTATTTTCTGGGTTATGTTAGTCTGAGGGCATCCCACGGTGCTTGGGTCCCAAGTGTCTGTGGGATGTTATCAAGACTCAAGGAATGCAGATGGAATTCTACAGTAGTAACAATAACCATAGTTGAAATTTATTACTGCTTATTGGGCCAAGAAACTAATTGCTTTGCAAGGACTCCATCAGGAGGGTACTCTCCTATTTTTAAAAAAATTCTTTATTGTTGAAAGTATTACATATGTCTCCTTTTTCCTCCACTGACCTCTCCCCACCCACTCCCGCCCCCCAGCACATGCCCCTTCTCCATCGTCTGTGTCCATTAGTTATGCTCATATGCATGGATACAAGTCCTTTGGTTGATCTCTTAACCCCCCAACCCCCGCCTTCCCTCTGAGATTTGAGGGTCTGTTCAATGCTTCTATGTCTCTGGATCTATTTTTGTTCATCAGTTTATGTTGTTCATTATATTCCACAAATGAGTGAAGTCATGTGATATTTATCCCTCTCGGATTGGCTCATTTCACTTAGCATATTACTCTCCAGGTCCATCCATGCTGTTGCAAATGGTAAGAGTTCTTTCTTTTTTACAATAGCATAGTATCCCATTGTATAGATGTAATGCAGCTTTTTATTTTATTATTATTATTATTATTTTTAAAATATATTTTATTGATTTTCCACAGAGAGAAAGGGAGAGAGACAGAGAGTCAGAAACATCGATGAGAGAGAAACATCTATCAGCTGCCTACTGCACATCTCCCACTGGGGACATGCCCGCAACCCAGGCACACGCCCCTGACCGGAATCGAACCTGGGACCCTTCAGTCCGCAGGCCGACGCTCTATCCACTGAGCCAAACCGGTTTCGGCTATTTTATTATTTTTAAAATAAATCTTTATTGTTCAGATTATTACAGTTGTTCCTCTCCTCCCCCCCCCCCATAGCTCCCCTCCACCCGGTTCCCACCCCCACCCTGCCCTTACCACCACCTCCCCCCCGCCCGTCCTCATCCATAGGTGTACGATTTTTGTCCAGTCTCTTCCCGCACCCCACACCCCACACCCCTTTCCCCCTGAGAATTGTCAGTCCATTCCCTTTCTATGCCCCTGATTCTATTATATTCACCAGTTTATTCTGTTCATCAGATTTTTTTTTATTTTAGCCCAAGTTCAGTAAATTTATTTTGTCAAAACAATTGATATCTTGAGCATTACTGAGCCAACAGGACATCAAAATAAAAAGTTGTCTAAAGTTAAAGGCACAGTACATTAACAAACAAATGATCCTCAGTCACAAATTATAAATGCAATTTGGGATGGGGGTTGGTGGGAGGGGAGTTAATCCAAACTACAGCAATGAAGTCTTCAAACCACCTTCCGAACAGGGCTGCTGATTGTTCATCTATTTGTGTGACCTTGAGCTCCCTTTAAAAAAAACATTTCAGTGGAGAATCACAGCTGGTAATGTACTGCAAGTTCTTAAAGCTTCACAAGGTATAGTCTGGCTAAGTTACATGTGGTTTCCATATTAGCTTGTTTGGCAGGGTGACCTACTGCAAAGCAGTCAACCCCTTGGGAGTTATAATTTCCTCTGTAGCCATCGCTGTTGTAAAAGCCTCCATAGCCACTTCCACCAAACCCTCTGCTGCTGCCATGGCTGCCTCCCCCACTGTGGCTGCTGCTGAAGCTGGAACTGCTGGCACAGTTGCTCTGCCGATAGTCTCTGGTACCAAATCCTCCTCTGAATCGACTACTCTTACATTGTCCGCGACTGCTACCCTTGTAGTGGTGTTCGTGAGCCATGCTTTCCAACCAAGATGGCACCTCTTGCTTAGTTTCAATGAGCAGATCCAACAAATCCTTTGTGATGTTTATGTTCCTCTCATTAAAGAATGAGGTGGTAAGGCCAAGGTTTCCTACACGTCCTGTACGGCCAATGCGATGGACATGTTCTTCAATATCACTTGGCAAGTCAAAATTGATGACATGTTTCACATTTGAAATGTCCAGGCCTCTTGCTGCTCCTGCTGTAGCCACTAGAATCGGGCTTTTTCCTGAGCAGAACTGGTGCAGAGCCTCCTCTCTATCTCTCTGAGATTGGTCTCCATGGATACTGGTGCATGCATATCCTTCATGGTACAAGAAATCCTCCAGAGAATCTGCACCCTTTTTGGTCTCTACAAACACTAAGGTGAGTGAACCCTTGCCTGTTGCATTTAGAAGGTCAAACAGAAATGACCGCTTGTCTGTCTCTTCCACCCACACTACTTTCTGTGTGATGTTCTCAGAGGTAAAGCCAACTCTTCCTACAGCCAAGAAGATATATTCGTCCAAGAAATCGCGAGCAAGCATCTGTATTTCCTTGGGGAAAGTAGCACTAAACAGCATAGTGTGGCGCACGCCCTTTGGTGGCATCGTATCTTGTTCAACTATTCTATGAATCTGAGGTTCAAACCCCATATCCAACATCCGATCAGCTTCATCCAAAGCCAAGTATTTGCAGAAGTCTAATCCAATCTTGCCTCTTTCCATCATATCCACTAGACGTCCTGGACTAGCTACTAACAAGTGGCATCCACGTTCTAAGTCTCGAATATGCTGACCAATATTGGCACCACCGTAAACAACACAAGGACGAACTCTAGATCTGTATGAAAATTTCCTGGCTTCCTCATAGAGCTGTACTGCCAATTCTCTAGTTGGTGCTAATACCAAGGAGATTGGGTATTGTTTGCGGCACCCGTACCTTCCATTTTCCTTCATGGCCCTCAAGGCCTCGCCTGGGCCATCCGTATAAATCTGACTCAAGATGGGCAAAAGAAATGCCGCCGTTTTTCTATACCCTGTCTGGGCACAAGCCATCAGGTCTCTTTGATAATAGGAATAGCATGCTTTTGCACTGGAGTCGGGTGAGTGTAACGAGTTAGCTCAATGTTTCCCATAATAATCTCTCCCATCTCAACATTACTGAAACTTTCAATATGTGGAGGACTGTTGTTGCCTGTTGCCTCAACTGGAATATCATCATATTTCTCAAAGTTAATCCCAGTGTTTCCTCCAGAAAAGAGTTCCTGTTCCAAGCATTCACTTGGTGGGAGTGGTTTGGACCAATCTTCCTCATCTGATTTGTCACACCAGTGACTATTTCCACCACGTTCAAATTTGCCAAAGCCACTTCTGTCACCACGGCTGCCAATGCCATCATAGTCAACCCTTCCACGATCATCAAACCTTCCTCTTGACCCACTTCCACGGTCACTGAAGAAACTAGACTTTCCTCTTGAATCACCATGAGCTCCAAAATTGCTGTTTGCATCCTTATCTTTGCTGGAACTCCAACCTGAACTGTCTTTATCATAGAATCCTTTAGTAGCTTCTCTGTTCCTTAAGTGAGGAGGAATATAGCGCCCTTTGCTGGCTGTACTTCCTCCACTCTGATTATCTGAAGAGTTCAGGTCTAGGCCAGCAAACTGCTGGTCTAGCCCGAGCGCATTTCCCACCGCCACATGACTCATCCCTGAAGAGTACCGGACACTCAGAGTCTTCTGCTGCTGAGCGAGTGAGTTAGGTTCACCGCGGAGGTCCTCTCATGGGAGAACTGTGGCTCTCTGTTCATCAGATTTTTTATTCACTTGATTCTTAGATTCACTTGTTGATAGCTATGTATTAGTTGCTCATAATTTTTATCTTTACTTTTTTCTTCTTCTTCCTCTTCTTAAAGAATACCTTTCAGCATTTCATATAATACTAGTTTGGTGGTGATGAACTCCTTTAGCTTTTTCTTATCTGTGAAGCTCTTTATCTGACCTTCAATTCTGAATGATAGCTTTGCTGGATAAAGTAGTCTTCGTTGTAGGTTCTTGGTATTCATCACTTTGAATATTTCTTGCCACTCCCTTCTGGCCTGCAAAGTTTCTGTTGAGAAATAAGCTGACAATCGTATGGGTATACCCTTGTAGGTAACTAGCTGTTTTTCTCTTGCTGCTTTTAAGATTCTCTCTTTGTCTTTTGCTCTTGGCATGTAATTATGATGTGTTCTTGGAGTGATCCTCTTTGGATTCCTTTTGTTTGGGGTTCTCTGTGCTTCCTGGACTTGTAAGTCTATTTCTTTTACCAGATAGGGGAAGTTTTCTGTCATTATTTCTTCAAATAGGTTTTCAATATCTTGCTCTCTCTCTTCTTCTGGCACCTCCATAATTCAGATGTTGGTATGCTTGAAGTTGTCCCAGAGGCTCCTTACACTATCTTCATATTTTTAGATTCTTTTTGCTTTTCTGGTTGGGTGTTTTTTGCTTCTTCGTATTTCAAATCTTTGACTTGATTCTTGCGATCCTCTAGTCTGCTGTTGGATCTCTGTATAATATTCTTTATTTCAGTCAGTGTATGCTTAATTTCTAGTTGGTCCTTTTTCATATCCTCGAGGGCCTCACTAAATTTATTGGCGGTTTCTAGAAAATTCTTGAAAAACCTTATAAGTGTGGTTTTGAACTCTATATCCAGTAGTTTTCTTTCCTCCATTTCTGTCATTTGTGACCTGTTTTTTTGTCTCTGCATTTTTTTGCTTCCCTGTGTTGACAGAGTGGCTTTCTGTGCTAGATGTCCTATAGGGCCCAGTGGCTCAGCCTCCCCAATTACCTGAGGTGGACACTCTTGGTGCACCCCTTTGTGGGCTTTGTGCACAGTCTTGTTGTACTTAAGCCTTGATTGTTGTAGGTATCACTGGGAGGAATTGACCTCCAGGCCAACTGGCTGTGAGAATCAGCTGTGTCTATGGTGTGAGAACTACTGTGCTGGAGAAACCCTTATGGGACAAGACTTGCTTCAGTGGGGCTTTGGTGCTCACTGAGTCTGCCCCCTGAGTGTGTCCCTTATGGATCTGAGGAGTTGTGATCTGGATGGTCCCACTCTGACCACTGGGTACACTGGCTCTTGGATCTCTAAGGAGGTGCTAATTTAGCCTCTGCTTGAGGCTACCCAGCAGGAGCTACAGAAAGATCTGCAGATTCCTCTTCTTTGTTTGGGGTTTGGAGGTGCCCAGATGAGGCCCAGCTGTGAAGCAATGCAAGCTGCTGTGGGGCCTTGGGCCTTCTTTTGGAAGTTCTGGGTCTATCTGGCCCAGCTGCAGTTTGTTATGTAATTTTAGATTGCAAAGGGCCAGGCCATTCATATGCAAAAGCCTCTGCACACAGCTTGGGTGGGGCGGGGTCTCAGGGAATCAACTGGGTGGAGCAAGCAGCTATGGCTGATCCTCAGCCCTGCCCTAAGAGACCCTGGGTCTCAGTGTCCCTTGGTAATTGCTGTAAGCACCTCTGAGAGAAAGTCGCTCTCGAGTTCTGCCCGATGCTAGACAGTCCAGTTTCTCTCCGTATGAGTCTGGGTCCCCAGAGACTCACTCAGAACTGGAATTCAGAGAAGTTGGGAGCTTGTGTCTCCCTCCCGATTGAAAAAGACAACCGCATCTTCAGTTGCCAGCCCTTTCTGAATGCGCCTCCGCATTTTACTTCCACACCTCCTCTGAGTCTCAGTGTGCTTTTCTCTTTCCTTCTAGTTGTAGAATTTCCATTCAACCAGCCTTCCTGTGGTTCTGGATGATGTCTGTTTTGTCTTTTAGTTGTATTTTAAAAAAATATATAATATATGTATATATATTATATATATATGTATATTCTTTTTTTTCTTTTTAATATATTTTATTGATTTTTTTTTTTACATAGAGGAAGGGAGAGGGATAGAGAGTCAGAAACATTGATGAGAGAGAAACATCAATCAGCTGCCTCCTGCACACTCCCTACTGGGTACATGCCCTTGACAGGAATTGAACCTGGAACCCCTGAGTCTGCAGGCTGATCCTCTATCCACTGAGCCAAACCGGTCAGGGCTTAGTTGTATTTTTTTTTTTTTTATGTGATAGCAATATCAGCCACCATTTTTTAAAAATATATTTTATTGATTTTTTTACAGAGAGGAAGGGAGAAGGATAGAGAGTTAGAAACATCGATGAGAGAGAAACATCGATCAGCTGCCTCCTGCACACCCCCTACTGGGGATGTGCCTGCAACCAAGGTACATGCCCTTGACCGGAATCGAACCCAGGACCCTTCAGTCCACAGGTTGACGCTCTATCCACTGAGCCAAATCGGTTAGGGCTTAGTTGTATTTTTGAAGTGGTTGTGCGAGGCAGCAATTTCAGGCGTTTACCTATGCAGCCATTTTGGTTTCTCTCTGTAATACAGCTTTTTAATCCACTCATCTGCTGATGGGCACTTAGGTTGTTTCCAAATCTTAGCTATTGTAAATTCTGCTGCTATGAATATAGGGGTGCATATATCCTTTCTGATTGATGTTTCTGCTTCCTTGGGATACATTCCTAGAAGTGGGATCACTGGGTCAAATGGGAGTTCAATTTTTAATTTTTTTGAGGAAACTCCATACTGTTTTCCATAATGGCTGCACCAGTCTGCATCCCCACCAGCAGTGCACAAGGGTTCCTTTTTCTCCACATCCTCGCCAGCACTTGTCATTTGTTGATTTGTTGATGATAGCCATCCTGACAGGTGTGAGGTGGTATCTCATTGTTGTTTTGATTTGCATCTCTTGGATGATTAGTGACTTTGAGCATGTTTTCATATGTCTCTTGGCCTTCTATATGTCCACTTTCAAAAAGTGTCTATTTAGGACCTTTGCCCATTTTTTGATTGGATTGTTTATCTTCCTTTTGTTAAGTTGTATGAATTCCCTATAAATTTTAGAGATTAAACCCTTATTGGATGTAACATTGGCAAATATGTTCTCCCATGCAGTGGGCTTTCTTGTTGTTTTGTTGATGGCTTCTTTTGCTGTGCAGGAGCTTTTTATTTTGATGTAGTTCCCTTTGTTTATTTTCTCCTTAGTTTCCATTGTCACAGGAGATGTATCGGTAAAGATATAGCTACAATATATGTCTGATATTTTGCTGCCTATGGATTCTTCTAAGATTTTTATGGTTTTCAGTCTTACATTTAGTCTTTTATCCATTTTGAGTTTATTCTTGTGTATGGTATAAATTGGTGATCTAGTTTCATATTTTTGCAATTATCTGTCCAATTTTCCCAACACCATTTATTGAAGAGACTCTCTCTTTTTTTAAAAATATATTTTATTGATTTTTTACAGAGAGAAAGGGAGAGGGATAGAGAGTTAGAAACATCAATGAGAGAAACATCGATCAGCTGCCTCCTGCACACCCCCTACTGGGGATGTGCCCACAACCAAGGTACATGCCCTTGACTGGAATCGAACCTGGGACCCTCCAGTCCGCAGGCCGACGCTCTATCCACTGAGCCAAACCGGTTAGGGCTGAAGAGACTCTCTTGACTCCATTGTATGCTCTTGCTTCCTTTGTCAAATATTAATTGAGCATAATATCTTGGGCCGTTTCTGGGGTCTCTGTTCTGTTCCATTGGTCTATATGTCTGTTTTTGTGCCTGTACTATTCTATTTTTATTCTAATTTTATAGGCAAGGCAACTGAGGCCCAGGGAGGTTAGCCCAAGTCACATATCCAATAACTGGTAGAGTGGTGGACTGTATAAGGTCTAGAGCAGACTTCCTTGAACCCTGGTCACTTCCCAGTGACCTCATAGTATACATAAAAATTTAGGTTGAACCACGCCCTCCTCCCAATTCATATGTTGAATTTCTAAGCCCCAAGACCTCAAAATGTGACTGTATTTGGAGACAGGATCTTTACAGAGGTACTTAAGTTAAAATGATGTCACTGGACTCTATCCTAATCCAATATGACCGACGTCTTTGTAAAAAGTGGAAATTTGGAGATACACGCACACACACACACACACACACATATACACACAGGGAGAATTCTGTCATGTAAGTGTGAAGACGGCCATCTACAAGACAAGGAGTCAGGCGTGGGACAAATCCTCCCCTCACAGCCCTCAGAAGGTACTAGCCCTGCCCACACCCCAATCTCCTTTGGCACTCCTGATAGGAATAGGTTTATGGTTTTTCTTTATTCCTTAGCCAAAGTACTCATAAAACAGAGGCACTAGTAGGCTGGATTATGGGGGCTGCCCCAGAAACCCCTGGTGGGGTAATATATGTGTAAAGTTAAAACTCTCAGGTTTTTTCCTTCCTGTTTGGGAAAAACCCACTTCTTCCTAAGTGTGTGTTTCTCTCCTGCAAGTCTCCCTTGCTACCCACACAAAACACTTTGCTTCTGACAGTTCAGAACACCTAATACGTGGACGTTTTTCCCCACACCAAAAAATAATTCTTAGACACCAGCTGGGTGTTCAAGAATTCAACTAATACTGATACCATTTAGCTGGTGATAGCATCAGATCCCACAGAAGGGCTCGGTCCCATAAGACTGCTCCCCCCACGCCCACACCCCACCCCCGCTTCAGAGGCCAATTGAAAGCCCAGGTTATGCAACCTGTGCTTCTGATCAACCAACTGTAGATCAAAGGTTCCAAGGAGCACCCCCTCTTGGGTTCAGTTAATTTTCTGGAGGGTTCACGGCACTCAGGGAAACACTGGCTTACATTCACC